AATGTCAACCAATGCAAGAAACCACTTTATAACTATCACCAGAGCATTGATAGTTCATAAATTGGTCCCAGTTAATCAACAAACGAACGAATATATTGTTCATCTCTATGTGAAGAACTCTATACTTCTGTACGCGTATTATGCGTAATTCGTTATTTCAGTGTGCTGTGGCCTGGTATTTAAATGTTTTGTGGTCCAGCATCTGATTCCGTTCTTATTGTAAGAAGAAGCTATGGACATACATTTACCAGTCAACTCCACGTATTACCAAGTTTAACCCCAACTGTGTGACTGTGGAAGTTAGAAGCCAAATATGAGTTGCGCTGGAGAAATTTATTACAAGCAATCGTTTATCCATTTACACGTTCGGAATAAAGAACGGGAAAGCTAAACTGAGCGGAGTAAGTGAGTGATACAACCCATGTGGGCAAAGCATGAGTCGTTAATTCTATTAAGACAAAAAATAATTTACAGAAACGCAGTGAATAGAAAGAGTACTCAATAAATATACACTCGAACAGAAGCAATAAGGGTTTATAGGCGATCATTTAACAAAGTCAAAATGTGGCATAAAAAATGAATAAATCGGCCTGTTTGTGGGTTAAGTAAGTAATATGGGCTTGGTAAAATACCATAAACTGCAAACGGATGATTCTTATTCTCATGAGAATAACTGCCATGGATCTGGGATACAAAAGATTGCCTTGGCCATCGGTTTCGACCTTGTCGTGTGCTTACCCATGGGATGGAAGAGTGAAAGTATTACGAGTAGGGGGGTATGTGTGGGGAAGGTCGGGATAGTACTGATCATGTGACGGTTAGGAAAGCGGAAATGCAGTCTAGTCAACGTCATGGGTGTATGCTGTGTAACACACTGAATACCTAATTCTTACAACTTTTGGTTCCTATTATCAGATTGTTTTCATTCCAGACTTATATTAATCTCAATCCCTGTCTGTTCCCTTCATTATCAAACATAGCTACATTTCATGTATCCACTGAATTCTAGCTGCCTTTATTTTCCACCAAACTGACTCTCATCACATGAATTATCTTCACATCGTGCGGTGACCTATCAAATTCTAAACGTTGCAATAGTTGCAATAGATATATTTATTGTATAAGTTCTTGCCGTCTTGTGTGTATATAACATCAGGGGTTTATGCATCAAGATAAAAGACAAACTTTTGATGTGCGTTGACTCAACACATTGTGATGTTATGTAAAAGAATCTGTAGATTTGTAGTGGCATTGGATCCTAACCACAAAATCCCGAAAGCCGAACACGAGACAACTGCGAAACTAGATAATTAAAATTTATCGCGGAAAAAACCCAACGATAGAGAAGGTGGGAAGAAAGAATTCAACGAATTCAAATTCATCCGATGGCATGGCTCGGCCTTGCAGGCGTGGTCACTTTTATGCAACTTATCAGTTTTATTCATACTAAATACATTATTCTATTTCCAATCTAAATGTGTTCTCCATCACATATTGGTGATTGTTGCGTACGGTGAGTCAGTGTAGACAATGATGTGACTTCAATACAAGATCTTATAGATTGGGCAGGTGCGTCATGACAAATCTACAATTTTAAGACTAGGTCCATAATAATACTAATGATGAAGTAGACCTTAATTCTAGAGATCAATACAGTGTCTAATATGCTAGTGAATTCGTAAGAACAGAGTTCCTATTCAGTGATAAGATCTTTGTTTAAAGATATGGCTTATTTGACATTATTATTGGCCCGATATTATGTAGTGTGAAAGTCATTACTTATGTATACAACAGGTTATTTTTCGGCAAATAATTACAAGGGGAGAATTTCAACGTCGTGACTAAGCAGACAAAAGTAACGGGAAAAAGAATAAATGTATAACGCATCATACTTAAAAAAGAAGCTTATAAATTTACTGGTATGAACTTATGTACGATGTAGATAGTCGAATTCATAACAAATCTAAGGACAATGAGGCATATATGTGGGGGAGGGCGAGTGCATGAATTGAGCATATTAAATAGGCATAACAGTTTTAGAGAGTATTTTTGGCTAGTGAACGTGTCTGCAAAATCTCACTGTTTTTTCGATTCCGTGGAAGGTGTGTTGCGGGTTATTCGAATCCTATAGTCAGTGGTCGAAGATACTGCAATGTAAGCATGCCGTCGCCGGTATATATGTTTATATCATCAGTGAAGGCAGGTTTAATACCACAGACGCTATCAGCGATTTTCGTGTCAATCTCGTCGAAAATAATGACTTTATTATTTCTGACTACTTGAAAAAACTTCATATGTTGTGACGACTCTAGCATGTTATCCTATCTGATTACACGATTCATATTGTAAGCTGCACACTGAGAAACGTAACCAAGCTTGCTGTCCATATTTACAACAACACCATCCAGGAGTCTCTAATCAACTGTTGCATGAACTATTCTTTTAACCGTTGTCAAATGGTACTCGAGGTCTGGATGTTGAACCGTGATTCTCGACACCATTTGTGCCTCAACCTGCCTCTACGTCCTGCCCTGAAGATTCCAGCTTATGACTCGCTTTGTGACGTAATTTGGTGGTTTCGCCAATCTTGCCACGTCACCAGAGACAAAAGTTAGCAAACACCAACCGGAATTTCTGATTCCGTGTCAAGACTTCATCAAGCATCAACCCAAAAAGACCGAGACTTCCAATGACAGTGAAACAGTCAATGCACTCAAGTGATTTATTCCATATCACTGGATTAGACATTGATGCACACCAGTACTCAAGAAATATTTTGTGTCTGCAGGGAGAAAAACATATTTTGAAAATGCTCATACCGTTACTCAAAAAGATCAAAGAACTCTTTATTTTGTCAGAGACTTCACCAAGCTAAACAAGTTCGGCAGTAATAAAATTGTGGTGACGGAATAAAAGGGATAAGTTAATGTAAAATGTTTCAGTCATATAAACATTGATGTGGCGGTTAGCGGATGTCATTTTACCTTTGATTAACGAGGTAGCAGTTGAGATAGGGTTAGAACCTTCTGAATAACAGTCGGAGATTTGAGTCCTTCCATCTGCTCAAAAATAAAAACTATCCCTTAACACTTCGAATAATCCAAAACCTTTTTATATGGCATATAATTGACTTTATAAAACCGAACTGATTAAATACTATCGGTATATTATATAAGAACATGATGAATGATATACCTGTATAGAAATTTTATCTTAACATCTAAACAGCACTGGTTTGCTAAACTCCATAACTGAAATCAACAATGCATAATTACATACAATCCGTAATATTTTAGCTTAGGCCGATAACTTTGAACAGTGATGTTATGATTCGTAATGGTTTGTATATTTTTATTGTTGATATTTTGAAGCACGGAATACAGTGAACAGCTTGTATGCAAATAGATGATTCGAACTTTGCAGATGACCTAGCTCTTCTATCTCATACACACCAACAAATGTAGGTGTTGAAAGCCAAAGTAGCAGCAACCTATGCAGCAGTAAGCCTCAGCACACACAAGGGAAAAAGAAGATTCTCAAACGCAACACGGAGAACACCAACACAATCACACTTGATGAAGAAGCCCCGTAAAAGATCAAAACTTCCACATATTTAAGGAAGGTCATCGATAAACAAGAAGCATCTTATGCGGCTTATGAAGTAGGGATTGACAAAGGGAAATAGTTCTGCAGTTGGATAATATATGGAGCTGAAAACAACTGAAAGACAATATCAAAGTTAGAGTCGTCAACATGAATGTCAAGAAAATTCTACTGTACTGAGTTGAAACTTAGAGAACTACTACAACCATCATCAAAACAATACAAGTATTTGTAAACAATTGTCTACGTATGAGTCTTGATTCGTTGACCGGATACCATCAGCAATAGCCCGCTGTGGAAAGGAACAAATCGGCTTGAAGACTAAAAGGAAGTCGGAAAAGGAAACTGGAGATAGATAGGAAATAAATTGCGGAAATCACCAAACTGAGTCACCAGACAAGCGCTAACTTGGGATCCTAGTCCCAAGGTAACCACCAACACATTGCAAATTAAAGTAAACACTTGGGTATGGTAACGCTTTTTACCGTGAGTCACTCTATCTCCAACGCTTTCCCAGTTGATGAGGTGGTGGTTCATGCTGTCGGCCATTCTGAGAGGAGGCTCAAAGTCATGTACGAACCCATGGCTTATAGATTTTGGTTCGGGATGCAGAGTGAATAAAATAAGTAGAGGAAGTGCGTTATTTGAACTTATCAGACTCCATGCACTGTCTTGTATTTTATCAACTATTTGTTACTCAAATACACTGACCTCTAAATAACTTAGATTCATCAGGACCAATGCAACCGAGCAACTAAGCTACCTATGTCGACTCAAACCAACAGACCTTGAGAAGCGAGCGTAAAGAATTTAGACAGTTCATATAAATACGGTAAGCAGAGATGGATAGTGACTAGCAGTGGAATCCAGGACGCGTGTTTCGTCCTATTTGGGACTCGTCAGCTGGATGTACCTGCATCTCAGAGTTGATGTTCACTCTGGGACTCCAACCCAGTACCATCGCTTCAAACGTCATTGCGTTATTCACTCGGCCACTGAGTCCTGATAGCCACTTGCTTGTGCGATGGGGTGAAGTTTGAATTCACGTAGTATTGTTTGTTTGGATCTTCCCATCGATGTGTTTAGGACTGCAATTGGTCAGTCTCTAATTGGCATAAGTGCATGCTGTGCGTATTGCCTCGATATACCTTAATTCACAAGCATGGTAAGCAGAGATGGATAGTGGCTAGCAGTGGAATCCAGGACGGGCGTTTCGTCCTATTTGGGACTCGTCAGCTGGATGTACCTGCATCTCAGACTTGAAGTTCACTCTGGGACTCCAACCCAGTACCCTCGAGGGAAGATCCAAACAAACAATACTAAGTTCATATAAATATTTCTGTTTTTGAACTTGATAGTAGTAAATCCGTTATCATCGTTCAGTTATTTGAATTTGTGCCATGCATTTCCTGCTCATTTGCAAGTGTCCCGAAACTTAAAACCAAGTAAGATTATATTTAAATTGTGCATACAGGCCAGTTGTTCAAAACGAAATGGATTTTCACTGGTTTTTTACTACTTTTATTTTGCTCGTTTAATAAGAGTCGCAATTGTTTCATTTACTGAATGTAGCCTTAAACGAAGACCGGGATTTTAAGATTGCGTGGCGCGCTCACATTGGTTGTTGGCTCTATTTGGCATTCCAAGTAAGTGAAGCTGTGCAGTTTTACGTAGTATCTCCAATATTTTTAATACACAAACGCAGACGTATCTCTTTTTCATCACTATGCTTAAGGGTTACGGATTTAGGCCTTTTTTTCAAGACATGAAGTGCAGATAGTTTTAGTCAGCTGGACATCCAGTTCACACAACTGGTCATAATCAACTTTGATGTGCAATAGTCCTAAGTCAATGCTACCAGGTGGATAATATTTGCCTTTATTATTGGAGGTGTGGTTTAGTGTGTTGTTTGATGATGCGAGTTAGATAATATACTCTTTGCTTTAAGATTACGCTCATCTTATATGAGGATTGTCTTAGTATTTACTGTTTTTAAATAATATCGTGAAGCGCCGTGCAACAATGCATCATGATTGAGTACTTCGAAAGCGTATTTCATCATTTGTAATTTTGTCTTGATGTGTATCTTCATATGATCAATTAATAAGGTAACATGACAACTTACTTCTACGGCGTTCATCTTTGAGTTAAGCAAGAACCACAATTGCAACAGCAAAGTGATAGTTCACCTACTTCACGGATTCTCGTCAGCTACCCACCCAATAATAACGTAAATATTTCTCATAGGTGTGCATACGTCATATTACGATAGCAAAAACACTATCATCAATGAAAATTGTTACAAAGGTGGTTACGAAAATATAATAAAAAACGTTCGTAATTTTAAATGTGAAGTTGTGTGAAGGTCATGGTTCGTATCTAGATAGGAGAACCTGTATGAAGCCCTAGTTTTGCACAGTTGGTTGTGGGCTGACTAATTTCAACATGAGTTACAATAAGCGACGAATCGCTTATGTTATGTAGTTTCTGTTCGAAAAGGTGAAAAAGTTTCCCAATACTCGCCGACATCTCGCCGAAAATTAGTACGACCATTTTATCACTCAATTTCACTTAATGTACTTGTTTATATGATGTCCACTCACAGCACTCACAGAAATTAGTCACCAGTTAAGTATGACCAGGCCTCGTTGCATCTCGCTCCACAGTATACCTGAAGAGGGAAATCTGTTAACAATACTATCCCGACAATTTACTGCCATTTTTAGTACCAGTCATAAGTCACTTTAAGGGTTGTGATTAGTTAAAATAACGCAAAATACAAAAGAACACTAGTTACCAACTTCTTTCTAAACGTCTCGTATAGTTTTATTTGCATACGTGCCCTGGAGAATTAAAACTTAATAACCACAGTTAATCTTTCCGGGAAAGTATTATGTCCCACTGATTAGTATGCCATACCGTAAGATGAAGTACAAAGCGTCGCTTTTTTAAAACCTCGAAGCATCTGTTTAGTGAACACTTTAAGGTGCCAGAAAAGTAAGGATAGTAAGTCATTATTTTTTTAACTTGTTTTGGTCAGATTTATTATAATCCCGATTGTCCCTGCTACCTTGACTTGGTCGTGATGAATCCACCGAGCCATACTGGCTGGAACAATCGTTTTTCAAGGTCCTACCATACCAGACATGTTGGTTAAAGAGCGGTAAGGCTAAAAGCAACAAACTCTATGTCCGAGGGCAAAGTCGTAGGCCGACTTTAAAAATGCACACCTCGCCTTATCCCACGGATATCCGTCTCTGGCGGTAAGGTTTCAACAAGTACGGAGCTAACACGAAAATCGCTCACTGAAAGATCGTGTGTGACTGACCCCAAGCAGTTGTCCCTTGGGCACTACGGTCACGCTCTCAGGTTACTAAGATCACTCCTAATCCAACTTCCTTCCCAGGTACCCCCCAGAAGAACCCTTCTACGGTGTGGGCACTTGGGAAGTGATAACTGCCCTCATACCTCTAACATCACTTAAGATCACTGTATTCATTAGCAATCTCCCTCTTCAATTTGTATCATTCCTCCCACCTCGAATTTCAACACTAAACTTCCTCTTTTGGCTTCCTCCTAAAGTGACACCATGGCCAACGATTCTAGTGCGTAAAACACTATCTCAGGTCTACTGAAACCTCGCCCCAAACTACACATTGGAGCTTTCAACGTACTCTGTCTGGCGACCGGATGGCTAGTTCTCGTGGACTGGCAGGTGTAGGTATAGCATTAAGTACGAGAGCAGAACAAGCACTATATGAGTGGATCCCTGTTAAAAGTCACCTACTTGCTGTTCGGCTAAATAGCTTGGTAAGAACTCGGAAGGATAGGGACACGCGTCGTTGCCTTTTCGTCGTTTCTGCCTACGCTCTCACTGACTGCAGCCATCATGAAGTGGAAGATGACCTTTACAGAAAACTCTGAGCTTCTTCAGAAAGCTAAGCGCTCAGACATAGTAGTCGTAGCGGGTGACAATGCTCAGGTAGGCAACTTAAACCAAACAGAAAGACATTTAGGTGGGAATTTAAGTATTCCGGCTCAACGAACCGATAATAGTGATCGTCTGTTGCAACTATGCTCAGACAATCGTTTATTTTTAGAGAACTTATTTTAAGTATAAGGAGAGATATCGTTTAACATGACAACCCCTTGCACCAAACTAACGATTGACTCAAATAGACCATATTGCCATCAGTTATTGTTGGAGAGGCTTGATAGAAGACTGTCGCTCGTTCTGGAATACCTGTTTAGACTCTGATCATGCTCAAATACGAGCACACTTTTGTTTGCGCCTCACTGGACGCAGAAAAGCCACACTAAGAAGACTCATTAGAATTGAACTGAGTGACTAGAAAGTCAAAATTAGACTTCAGGAACAACTGAGGTCACACTTGGTTTGTTCTGAAAACGAGACTGACTCAGATGTTGCTTGGAAAAATATACAAACAGCTGACATCTGCTATACGAATATTCGTCAACATTAGAACGAATAGTTTGACAATAATTGGGCGCCGAGTATAGAGAATTCATCATATGTGAAAAAATTATATTTGAAATAGTCTCAGCGATTGAAATCTAAATAATTCCAACGTTTCGTCCAGCTAACTTGTCTGGACTTCTTCAGGAAAGTAATCAAAATCAAAAACATCAAAGAAATATATAGTGTTTTTACAATCATATCAAAATCTCTAATACTTTTTAATCCAATCATATTTGGATGTCGAAGTTTTTGTAAACAGGATAATATGAGACAGTTGAATGAGAATCAAGTGTAAAGTTCAACGATGTGAATTAAACGAGACTGGATGAATTGTGTGTATGTTTGTATGTGTAAGATGAGTTATTAATGAATGATATTCAGTGTTGATATGTTTCTATGTGAAGTAAAATAGGAATAAAAGTGCAAAATGGAGGTTGAAAAGTTTTTCTCCCTTCTGAATCATCGAAATTGCAAATAAAATGAGAATCATCATCAAGTACATAATTGTAATGTTAAACATAACTCATATTGATTTCAGTCATAATAACGATTCATGTGAAGTAAACAGGTTGAATAAAAGAAAAGGTCAAATTACTTGTTGAAGAATATTTGCCAAGTGGTAGCTAGCTGAATACCATCCTTTCTGTTTAGGCTGTTCTTATTCGCCCATATATACAGCGCTTCTGCTGTCAATCTTTCTTTGTGAGTGTTGAAACCTTTCTGAAGTATTTTGGCCCCTTCAAAATTAATCATGTGTCCCGTTTCCAACGCATGTAACGCTATTGCAGACTTATTCTCAAGTTTCTTTAAGTCAACCGAGGTTTTGGGGACGTTTTTTAAACACTGTTTGTGTTCCTTCAACCTTACCTTCAATTGTCTGGATGTTTCTCCAATATAAGCCGCATTACAATCATGACAATTGATCTCATAGACGATATTTTGTTGTTCTTCCTTTGGTAACCTATCCTTAACCTTCACCAATGACGATCTTATAGTGTCACATGTTCTAAATTACACTCATATCATGTTTGTTTAAAATCCGTTTGATTTCTTCCGATGTTTCGCTACGGTATGGTATGACTACAGTGGACTTCCAATCTTTCTGTACATGTTGCAGTTTAGCTTTTCTTTCCTTTCTAACAATCTTCTTTAAAAACTCTTTTTGGTAGTTGTTATCCCTAAGTGTAGCTAAAATCCTATTCAATTCAAATTGTTGGTCTTCTTCATCTGTAACAAGCTTCAGACTTCTGTTAATTAAATTTTTAACAACTGTGACTTTCGTACATAAAGCATGCGCCGAATCAAAATCTAAGTATCTATCTGAATGTGTTGATTTTTTGAAAACATTTATTTTCAACTTCCTATTATTAAGTCTTCGTTCAACCATACAGTCGAGAAATGCCAGTTTGTGGTCATCAGACTCTATTTCCTTCGTTAGATTAATTTAATCAATATGAGTTATGTTTAACATTACAATTATGTACTTGATGATGATTCTCATTTTATTTGCAATTTCGATGATTCAGAAGGGAGAAAAACTCTTCAACCTTCATTTTGCACTTTTATTCCTATTTTACTTCACATAGAAACATATCAACACTGAATATCATTCATTAATAACTCATCTTACACATACAAACATACACACAATTCATCCAGTCTCGTTTAATTCACATCGTTGAACTTTACACTTGATTCTCATTCAACTGTCTCATATTATCCTGTTTACAAAAACTTCGACATCCAAATATGATTGGATTAAAAAGTATTAGAGATTTTGATATGATTGTAAAAACACTATATATTTCTTTGATGTTTTTGATTTTGATTACTTTCCTGAAGAAGTCCAGACAAGTTAGCTGGACGAAACGTTGGAATTATTTAGATTTCAATCGCTGAGACTATTTCAAATATAATTTTTTCACATATAATGGCATCTGTTAGTTATTTAAACCAAAGAGTTACGAAAAACCAATGGATTTCTGCTAAGTCTATTGCACTGATGGATTCTCGTAAACTCATCCTATCAGGCACTGAACACGATGAAGAGTGTTAACAAATCAGACCTAGGTTAGCCAAAAAGTCTAACAAACGACCATGGGCAGTGGTTGGCAGGGAAACCAGAAGAGATGGAAAAAGACAGCGGCTGTAGTAACACCATACAGATTTTCAAGCTAGTGAAGGAAATTGGAATTAAGATTTCAAGTGTGAGACGATCTCGGGAAAGATGACACTCTTATCTGCTCTCAACCAAGACGTTTAGGACGATGGGCGTAACACTTTAGGGAGCAGTTTGTCTGGCTTTGAGTTACTCTACAACTACTCACCATTCCCAAACAGTCTGAATAGAACATTGAATTAGGTCCCCCCGACTCTAATCAGAGTTCGAAAAGCCATAGCTAATCTGGCACTATGAAGAGCAGCTGGTCCAGATAGATCGGCTCCAGAAGTTTTTAAGCATGGTGGTCCAGTTTTAGCGACTAGGTTGACTAATATTTTAGCTAAAATCTGGGAGTTGGTCGCAATCACTGATCATCCCAATATATAAGAAGGTGTCAAAATGATCCTATGATAATCATAGAGGGATTAGTTTGACTAATACAGCGTCTAAAATACTAGCCTCAATAATTACCGGGTGCATAACTAAGACCCGTGAACTGCAAACACAAGAAATTCAGGCTGGCTTCAATCCTGGTGGTGGATGCATCGTCTAATTTTTCAACCTCAAGTAGTATCCGGCACTCTCGTCGACTGAATTTTCAGGAATTGATCTTCTACCAGGAGGTTCACTTATCGACTTAGAATACGCAGATGACATAGTCCTGTTTGGTGAAGACGCTGACAAAATGCAGAGTCTTCTGTTAGAACTGAGTAATAATGCCAGAATGTTTGGGATGCAACTCCGCCTGTAGCTCTTCTAGAGTTATTGCCGGTCCCAAGCCCGGGTAAAGGAGGAGGGTTGGGCATGGGGTTAGCGGCCCCATCCCGTAGAAAAGCTAACTCGCTAAAAAAACGCTAACCAGAAAAAATAATTCAAACCACTTAAACTCTGCCCTGGGAGTTGAAGGAATAATGACGTCTCATGATGAAAGCCGAAATTCTTCGGAAGTCACGAGACCGATGCACCTTCTAACAACCAGAGCAACACTCTTTATAGGTACATGGAACGTCCGGACAATGTGGGAGACAGGAAAGACCAGCCAAATAGCAATGGAAATGAGGAGATACAACTTGGCAGTACTCGGAATCAGCGAAATCCATTGGACACAAACTGGACAACAAAGGCTAGGTACAGGAGAGATGCTGCTATACTCCGGTCACGAAGGGGAAACGCTCCACATACTCAGGGAGTTGCTCTAATGCTGTCCAAAGAAGCACGAAATGCACTTGTGGGATGGGAATCTCATGGACCCAGGATAATCAAAGCATCATTCAGAACAAAGAAGCAAGGGATCACAATGAACGTTATCCAATGTTATGCACCCACCAGTGATAGCAACGACGATGATAAAGATCAGTTCTATGAAAGGCTTCAATCAATTATAGAGAAGTGCTCACGAAAGGACCTCACCATCCTGATGGGAGATCTAAATGCTAAAGTTGGAGTGGACAACACAGGATATGAAGATGTAATTGGACGACATGGATTAGGAGAGAGAAATAAAAATGGGGAGAGGCTTGCAAACCTATGTGCATTCAACAAATTGGTTATAGGCGGCACAACATTCCCACACAAACGCATACACAAAGCTACATGGATCTCACCGGACCAAACCACAGAGAACCAGATAGATCACATCTGTATCAACAAAAAATTCCGAAGATCAATGGAAGATGTGAGAACCCGGAGAGGAGCTGACATAACTTCAGATCACCACCTGGTTGTGGCCAACATGAGACTGAAGCTTAAGAAACACTGGAAAACTGGACAAACAGCACTACAAAGGTTCAATACAACCTTCCTTCGAGATACTGACAAGCTCCATGAATTCAAGATAACTCAACAACAGGTTCCAAGCTCTACAGGATCTACTGAAAGAACAAGAAACTACTTTGGAGGACAACTGGAAAGGGATAAAAGAAGCACTAACTTCAACGTGCCAGGAGGTTCTTGGTCCTAAGAAGCATCATCACAAGGAATGGATCTCTATGGGAACCCTGGACAAAATTCAAGAAAGGAAGAACAAGAAACTAGCAATTAACAACAGCCGAACACGAGCAGAGAAAGTCAAAGCACAAGCAGACTACGCAGAAGCAAACAGGGAAGTGAAGAAAAGCATTAAAGCCGACAAGCAGAAATACATGGGAGAACTAGCAACGGCGGCGGAAAAAGCTGCAAGAGAAGGGAATATGAAACAACTATATGATACAACGAAGAAATTGGCAGGGAGATATAGCAAACCAGAGAGACCAGTCAAGGACAAAGAAGGAAAGACAATCACTGAGATTCAAGAACAGAGGAAAAGATGGACAGAATACTTCGAGGAACTGCTGAATAGACGTCACTCCACCAACGATCGAAGAAGTCAAGATGGCCATCAGACAAATCAAAAGTGGGAAGGCGGCAGGACCTGACAGTATACCAGCAGAAGCACTGAAGTCAGACATTGAAATAACTGCAAACATGCTTCACCTTCTATTCAAGAAGATTTGGGAAGAGGAACAAGTGCCAACGGACTGGAAAGAAGGATATCTCATCAAGATACCAAAGAAAGGAGATCTGAGCCAATGTGAGAACTACAGAGGTATCAGTTTGTTATCAGTACCAGGAAAAGTTTTCAACAGAGTGCTGCTGAATCGGCTGAAAGACGCAGTAGACGCCGAACTTAGAAATCATCAGGCTGGATTCCGTAAGGATCGGTCGTGCACAGACCAGATTGCGACACTACGTATCATCGTTGAACAATCAGTTGAGTGGAACTCATCACTATACGTCAACTTTATTGACTATGAGAAGGCGTTTGACAGCGTGGACAGGTGAACATTATGGAAACTTCTTCGACACTATGGAGTTCCTGAAAAGATTGTCAACATTATCCAAAACTCATACGATGGACTACAGTGCAAAGTGGTGCATGGAGGACAGCTGACAGATGCATTTCCAGTAAGGACCGGAGTCAGACAAGGCTGTCTACTCTCCCCATTTCCCTTCCTTCTAGCGATTGACTGGATTATGAAGAATTCGACATCTGAAGAGAAATACGGAATACAATGGACTTCTCAGAATCAATTAGATGATTCGGACTTCGCAGATGACCTAGCCCTCCTCTCTCATACACACGAACAAATGCAGATGAAGACAGCAAATGTAGCAGCAGCCTCCGCATCGATAAGCCTCCACATTCACAAAGGAAAAAGCAAGATTCTCAAATGCAACACGGAGAACACCAACCCAATCACACTTGACGGCGAAACTCTGGAAGAGGTGGAAACATTCAAGTACCTGGGGAGCATCGTTGATAAACAAGGAGGATCGGATGCAGATGTAAAGGCAAGGATTGGCAAAGCAAGGGCAACATTTCTACAATTGAAGACCATATGGAACTCAAAACAACTCTCAACCAATTTCAAGGTCAGAATCTTCAATACGAACGTCAAGACAGTCCTACTGTATGGAGCTGAAACGTGGAGAACTACTACGGCCATCATCAGGAAGGTACAAGTATTTATAAACAAGTGTCTACGCAAAATACTCAACATCCACTGGCCGGATACTATCAGCAACAGCGTTTTATGGGAGACGACAAACCAGCTTCCAGCTGAAGAGGAAATAAGGAAAAGACGTTGGAAGTGGATCGGACATACATTAAGGAAATCACCAATGTGCATCACGACTCAATCCCTAACTTGGAATCCAGAAGGGAAGCGGAAAAGAGGAAGTCCAAAGAACACACTACGCCGGGAAATAGAAGCCGATATGAAAAGGATGAATAGCAACTGGAAAGGAAGGCTCAGGACAGAGTTGGATGGAGAATGCTGGTGAGCGGCCTATGCTCCTCCACAAGGGGTAACAGGCGTAAGTAAGTAAGTTTGGGATGCGTTTCTCCCCATCCAAATGTAAATTGTTACTCCAGGACTGGCCTGCGTCAACACCTGAACTAAGGATAGGGAGTGAAGTAGTCGAACGCGTCGACAACTTCACTTATCTTGGAAGTCTGACCAGCCCTAATGGGTTGGTGTCTGACGAAATCTCAGCACGGATTCAAAAGGCTCGTTTGGTTTTTGCCAACTTACGTCACCTATAACGAAGACGAGATATCCGTCTATCAATTAAGGGACGAGTATACTGCGCAACAGTTCGCTCTGTTCTACTTTACGGCTGCGAAACATGGCCATTAAGAGTAGAAGATACTCGTAGGTTATTAGTATTTGACCGCAGATGCCTTAGAAATATTGCTCGCATCTGCTGGGATAACCGGGTAAGTAATAGTGAGGTTAGACGCAGGGTATTAAGGAATGATGGTAAATCAGTTGATGAGGTCATGAATCTACATCGACTGAGATGGTTGAGCCACGTGTTACGTATGTCTGGACACCGATTACCACGACGTGCAATGCTGACTAGTATTGGGGATGGTTGGAAGAGAGTTAGAGACGGCTAAACTAAAACGTAGCGTCAGTGCTTGAAGTCACTGACTTCTGATCTGAGCCATGTTGGTAGATGCAGACTACTTGGTTGGGGTCTGCGTGACTATCATAACCAATGGTTGGAGACTGTGTGATATGGCTCAGAATCCATTGTCATTAAGCAAACAGTTTTTTTAAAGAACGGAGTGGTTGGTTGTTATTAAAATTTCATTAATTAACCGATAGATAATGTCACCTACTTTGTGCTACCCGAAGTCTACTAATAGTTCTTTCTATGAACTGAATTGATGTAAAAACTTGTATTCTTTCTATTTGGACAAATTTCAAAAGATTGCGTTATGACAAATTCAGTCGAAATAGTTAAATACGTAGTGCAAAAGTGTATTTATCTGCTAAAATACTGTTGATCTTTTATACAGTTCATTGAAATATATTCGAATAAATTTCGACATTTTCTCAGTTTTATATTTCTCTTTGGTGTTTTCATCAACAGGTATAACTGCTTTATTAAACTTTGTTCCGATGTCCACGGCTGAACTAAAATTATCCAAGTTAGATCAACGACTGAAGGTGGCTGTCAGCGAACGACGTTTCTATGAGGCTCATCAACTATATAAGACCATAAATTTCCGTTGTATGATGCGGAAGAATTATCAAGAAGCATTAAAATATTTGAAACTAGGTTCTGAGTTTTTACTTGATAACGAGCAATGGGAAAGTGGTACTGAGTTAGCTTGTCTTGTACTTGATGTGTATAGCCAGAGCGAGACAGTTTTGACTGAATCTCATCTAGATGAAATTTGTGAACTTTTGATACGAATGTGCCCTGGGGAAGAAAGGACACGTTTTGTCCACAAGGCACTTCATCTTCTCCAAAAGCAAAAAGACCTTCTGGCTGTGTTCAATGGCTATCTCGCTCGTGTATTGTGGCAAGAAGGATCTTTCAGTGAAGCAAGGTTGCGTATTATGTTGTCTTCTAACGGCTATGCGGCTGGTGTCTTCCTTGTTGCTTTGCATCAGCGATATGGGCTTCGATCAGAAATCGATTTATTTCTTGCACAAGCTGTCCTTCAGTTTTTATGTATGAAACAAATCTCAGTTGCCATATTAACGTTTTACACATATACACGACGTCATCCTCGATTAGAACCTGGGCCACCGTTTGCGGATTTTCCTTTATTAAATTTCTTATGGTTTTTGATGTTAGCTATTGAAAAGAAGTGCAGTCTAGCTGTATTTTCAGTACTATGTGAAAAATACAGTCCCCAACTGAACCGAGATTCTTCTTATTTAAAATACTTGGATAAAATTGGCCAATTATACTTTGGTGTTAAGCCTCCTGCAAATGAAATGAATAATTTTTTTTCACGGATAATGCAAATGTTTAGTGATGGAGACAAAATGGAAGATTCTGTGTCAAGTGATGACGTGGGTCGTTATGCACTGAATGGGAGTACCGATGTAAATTCACCAGAGGAAATGTGTTTTGAAGATGTGGATTGATAATTTCGCATATATCTCCACCGACTACACAGTGCCTTTCGATTTAGAGCTGGTAATATGCACATACTCATCTTTATAGGTGGACAACAAGTACCTACCCACATAGCCGACATTTGAATTGTGAGCGTCTTTGGACAATAATTTTGTCTTGCAGTTATGTTTTGTGGATCTGTTTTCCTCATGCTTCTTCTAACAAATATTTATTCACTGGATGATTTCACTGTCGGTTTCTTCCTTTTTTCCTGTTATAAACTTCTTGAAAATGCACAAAATTGTTAATATTCAAATAAATTAAATTATGTACAGATTCTGTTCTAAATTTTTCAGTTTTGATTGTTCGTGCTGTGTAGTTTCTTTTTGATTATATCACGGATTGTCTTGTTACTTTGACACGTTTTCTTTTTCTTAGCCTTGATTCAAAAGATCTATCTTGAACTGATACACTTGTTTGAAACTCCATGCTGTGGCTCCCTGTTACGGTTCGAATTGTGGTTATACCTCTGAAAGCTCTTAAATCTTCACCAGATAAATGTAAAATTATTTGTGATAAGCTGTGATGAATAACTGATAAACGAAAGTAAATGGAGATCAGTTGTTCAAGTTTTCACGGTACTTAAAACACAAGGGACCATAGAAGTACTGTAATTTGACCTAGAGTAATAATACTGAAGTCTTTTACAACTAACATAATACTACAAGATTAATGTAGTGTATACTAGGATTTAGTTGCACGTGTATCGATTGCGATTTACATTATCGGTCAGCTTACGTTAATTAGCCTGATTAAAACATAGTTACCTAAGCAATTCCGCAGCCTGTAATCGAAATGGTACGATTAACTTTTAGACCAAGCTACTCTGGTTTCCCGATTTTTTTCATAAGGCCTGTGCTCAAATGCATCATGATGTAAACCAGTGTCGGATACTCTACTCCCAACTACTGTGAGCCTTTAATTCCTTAGTATTCAAATAAACGTTTTTCATGCAGTTAGTTCCCTTTATGAATTTAAATAAAGACAGAACAAATATTGATGATGAATTCATATTATTCTGCATCAATATTTGTTCTGTCTTTATTTAAACGTTTTTCATTCACTCCTTTGCGATATCTGTATGTATTAAAAGCTTGCAATCTTAATATGAACCAAATTATTTAGCACTTAATGTTCACTCATTCTTACTGTGCAAGCCATTGCATTATCGTATTGCATCTGGCCTTGGTCTACGTATGACCAGTTGTAGTTTATTGATAACTAGAGGATCTACTGAATTCCCTATTTTCTTTATGGGTCATTATGCTTTCGTTTTCAATATTTTTTCAGTGCTCATTGGACCCAAATCTAAATAACTAGACATGTTACCCCTCTTGCTGTAGCACCGTTCAGGAGTCTCTAACCAACCCAATTCTATATTCTTCCCAGCTGTTATCAAGTGGTATTCATGGTGTTGATGTTGATCTCCGATTCTCAAAACCACTTCCGCTTATCAGCTCTAAAAATCCCTTTCACTTTTTTTGTTTGCTCCTGTGTATTCAGCCTGTGCCTGTGCCTGTTTTTCGTCGGCTTCTTCTGCTTCCTTGAATCGTGGACAGATTATCTACTGTGATTTGTTTTTCATTTTGTTGCCTATTGGGGCCCAAAACACCCTGCGATGTGGAAGTTATTGCTCGTTCAAACCTTTTTGGGTTGCCCTCCGTGGTGATTTTCTCTCTTAGTAGATCTTGTAAGAATCAGAACTTGTTGCTGATATCTTTGTTGGACTGACTGAGCTTGTTAGCATTTCGAAGAAAGACTTGTAAAATTTTGTAGTGTTGCTCATCCATTTGTCCAATACTTCTTTAGCTTATGTTTCAGCTTGTCTGTCACCATGTGGTGATATAAAGCTCCATCGGATTCTCTCTTTGTTTCTACTTCTTTGGTTGAGCTTCCGAATTTTTTATTCACACAGATGTGATCGATCTGGTTTTTTGTAGTGTGTTCAGGCGGAACTCACTAGCTTTATGTGTGCGTTTTCGGGTCAAGTGCTGGCTTCTAAGACCATACCGTTGAGAACACAAAGGTCTAATCTCACCATTCTCCCAGTCTATCACGTCTCACAATGCATTCATACCTGGTGTTGTTCATCCAGTCTTGGGCATTTTTATATCACCAACTAGTATCGTCAGGTGTTTTTCTGATGATTTCTCTGAAATAGACTGCAGCCTTTCATAAAACAAAATTTATTGTCTTCGCTAGTTTTGTAGTGTCTAGTACTGTGTCAAGCACACATACATCATTCTGGTTTTCGGACAGACCAACTAATTCGTTCTTTTAGAGCCAAATTTCGACCTTATTGATTATTTGCTTGATAAACTTGACTGCTTTTATATGAGCGTATGTGTGTATCGCTTACCCTATGCATCATATGTCTTCAACTTATTTTTTTCTGGCTATAAATATTGAATCATGCTTTATCAAATTGAGTTGGTATGTTCGCCTTCTCTGGTCTGCTTCTCCACTTCACTCTTCTGATTGTCTGTCTCGACCAACGAGTTTATGAGGTAGATATGCATTTTCAAAATCCATCCTCATATTTGACGTGTTTTATTCCGTTATTATATATCAGAGTAGACGGCTTGTATATTTCGTTGACATCATTATTCTATCAAATGGAAGTTAGATCAACGGGCCACCAAACTGTTATTGGTTGGTGCTTAGCACTTGATGACATTCGTCGTAATCCTTTTCTTCTTTGCTTCGAAGGTTGGTTTGATGATCCTAGAGCCGTGAGTTTCCAATCAATCCAGTTAACGCTTCTCATACTTCTTTGGACAGTGTCGGAGCAAGTTCCTGTGTGTATTTTTTCCTCATGTTCAGAATACAACATCTCCTGTAGTTGGTTTATTTTGCTCAGGTTGCTTTCGTTGGGATTCATCTATCTCAATGATTTATTTATTTATTTGAACACATAAATATTTGTACAAAGGGGTGCCAGATATATATGTGCCACACAAAAAATTGTCATTTCATTTAATTGCATGAGGGCTATGATACTGCCCGGCTACTCAGACCGAAGCAGATGTATTTCTTAGGGGGCCACACATCGAGCCTTTGACCTAAAGATCTGATTCATAAGACAGTGGAGCATCGTGAGGAGATGCAGTCCCATGGTAGCCAGTGACCAACAATCGATTCGTACACCGTTTGTTCCCTAAGGACACTGGAGCCAGCCCATGTGCACCATTGGTTTAGAATCAGGGTTTTCCAACTCCCCTATGTAAACTTTCCGTGTCCACCAACCTGGTCGAAGCTCCGGACATTCGCTTCTCGTCCTCTCAATTTTGTGAACAACACCCCGCCACGAGAAGGCAGTGAATAGAACTTCTCTGACAGAGGCTGTATACTCGTGGCCAGGTGAAAATATTTCAAGAGAGGGGGCGGGTCCTCCCCACACTCGGCCGTACCAGGGCATTTGGGGGCCTATCCCAATGAAGGTCAGGTTGTATCTTCTCATTTCTTCGACTATTTGAATGATCCTCCTAGTCTTGCACATTGTTCAGACATTGCCTGTCCTTATATTAATTGTTACTCTGGTTGTCAGAAGGAGCACCAAACCTATGAATTTCAAAGAATCTCGGGATTTGTTCTGAAGCTTCATAACTCTTCTATATCATGACCCTTCAGCTACTAGTAGAGAGTTTAAGTGAGTTAATTGGTTGAGTCTGGTTAGCGTTTTTTCAACTAGGTTGTATTCAGTGAGGTGGGTTTAGTAAGTACATACCCAACCCTCCTCCTTTATCCAGCTTTAAGGACCGGGAATGACGCCTATGAACTTCAGACTACTTGTGTTCGAGTGATATTTTTGATTATTCCGAAAGAACACTATAGGTTTTCGAATATTGTTGTTTAGTTTAATCTACAGTTCTTACTTATTTTTGCATTGAATAACTGGCCTTATTTATAAGGTGTTTGTATCAATTTTCTTGTTTATCTTCAGTTTCTATTCACTTTAAAAATTCCATCTTTGTTTATAATATCAGTATCTCGACTACGACGAAGCGGGTTACTGCTCATGAGCTTATGTATATACTATAGTTGTTTTTTTGAGCTGAATGATTTCAATAAGTCCAAATGTTTATTCAAGTCATGCATGTATCACAAAATCCGTAGTTTAACCTCAATGTTGATTCGTCTCCAACACAGCATATCTTTAAGGTTGAGTTGTTACTGAATAGTATAAGCACTCATGAGTTAGTTTATAATTCCGAATCTTTTTCTGTATACTTTGTATAAGGCCGCCGTAAAGTATAAATAGCTTTTAAAGTGTAGTTAATTCACAACTAAGTTACGTGACAATATGTTTTCAGGGTTCCCCCCTCTAAGCTTGGTTTTGTCAATGTACACATGTTTGTTTCAAACAGGGTACCTTTGATAACTAGAGGGTTGTATGTTTGTGTGTAATTAGTTGAACATATAAAACTCAAGTTCATTTTCTTATTTCTATTTTAGAAGAAAAATGTTCTAATACTTATTATTACCAAATAAAGATGTCGAATAGTGCTTTTGGACCAGTTTTAAGTTCAGGGACTGCTCCTAATTTAGGTAGTGTTCCACCTGCTAAAGAAGAGCATGCCTTAGGCTTAAAAGCTATCTATGCAGCTTGTCGACTGTTGTATCCTGATCAACCTACTCCATTGCAAGTAACAGCTGTTCGAAAGTTCTGGATGGGTGGACCAGATCCTTTGGATTTTATCAATATGTATGCAAATCCAGGATCAGCTGAACTGCAAAGCCCTCCTCACTGGCATTACGTAACTAACGGTTTATCCGATTTGTATGGTGACTCGAGGTTGCATGGGTGAGTTTATTAGCACTTTTTTGCTTCATTTTCTTCTTTGCAGGTTTCAAAGAAACATTTTCTTTATCATAATTGACAAATTATCGTTAGCTTAGGTAACTATGTTGAATCATTACGAGATAAAATTAATAAAAAATGACTATCAAAGGAGTCGCATTGGCAGTAGTATGAGTTGTAGTGAGGAAGATTTGAAATTGAGAATACTGTGTGAAAAGAAGACATTTATAAAGAAATACTAATACCCTAAGTCTAGAGAAAGATAGAAAATAAATGAATCTTCGGTTTGATCTATTTAGAGTATTGTCATCTAATATCTACAACTACTGTTCATGATAATCTCACATACCCCAACCAGATAGTCTTTGTCTACAACATGAGCCAGACAAACTCATTATTGGATATCTAGATAGGCGGAAGTCTAGGATACGTAACATATTTGAACCAATTCAGTCAAAAAAGATCCACAACTTCG